CCCTTCTCTAATTCTCAAATCAACATTTACAGCACATTTCCTCCATATCACTTCTGACCACCTTCCTCCAGGCACTCTCCATACAGTCACTGGACTTGGACAGTCTTTCCTGGATCTCGCAATTTCCTTTATACTATTTTTTTTGTCATTATTCTTTAACAAATCTGCAGTTCCTATAAACCATATCAACAAAACCATACATCGTTCTTTCTTCCATGTCTTACTGTTCTTGCCTTTTAAAATCTGAGATACTTTACAATAGAGACCTATCATTTATATGTTAAGAATTTTGCATGAATAAACAGCAATCTTTCCTCACATGAAAAATACTTGCTCTGCAGCAGAACAGTGCCAGGAAGGTACACATGCTGCAAAGGCCCAGAAGACTGAGTAAAACAGGCAGACAGAACAATTGCAGAAATCTGATAAAAAAGGAAAGTTAAGTGATTCATCTTAACCTTATGAATCTACCAGTAATGGTATATATTTGAGCAGAGCCCTACTGAAAGGTGGATCTTTAAAAAGAAATTACTTCTCATTCTATGAGGAGATCAGAGAGAATGGTCACTGGTAAGCATGATAGGTTACCATAAACAAAATAAATTATCCCTAGAGCATAAAAATGTTAAATTAAATACATATATCAGCCTGAGTCCTTGAAGATTATTGTGTTGCCTAAAAAGGAGTTTTTACAGTTGTGTAATTTGAAGTAGAATAGAAATGAACTTTTAACTAAGTTGAATGTGACTGTTACAAAATACAAAACCTTTCATCTGGAATCTGTAGAAGCAAGACTAATGTAAACTTCAGCAGCAGCAGAAAGCAAGCTTTCCAAAAGGTTTATTCCCTCATGGGAAAGGCTGTGTAATTAGTTAGGCTTTATGGAGTATTACTTGACTTGCATTAGACATCGTAAGCGTGAACAAAATCTGGGCCTTTCAGCTTTAGAAAACATCCACTCCAAAAATGATATTTTGCTACAAACATGACGGTGAAACCTGCTCTCTAGTATTTCTTCTGGTTCCTCAGCCATACTGCAAAGGCAATCATCTTACCTACCTGGTGGCTAACAAGCCTAGGGGCGAAAAAACAAACAAAAAAACTACAAACGGCAAGAAAAGACAATACACAGTAAAATGTAAAAAAGGACAAAAGAAAGAAGAAAAACTTAGGACAATAAAAGAAGAAATTAAAGCAAGACAAAATACACACACCATGCACACAAGCTGGAGAAAAAGTAAAAAGGTTAAATAAAAATAGATTCAAGGTAAGGACAGAAGAGAGCTGAAGACTTTAAATGCTAATGAGAAGAGCTGATCCAAAAAGAAAAAAGATCTGGTAATGAGACAATAAAAAAACCTGATGATGTAAAAACAAAAGAGGGAATAACCAGGGATGAAAGTAAGAGCAGTAATCAACCAAACAAAATCTTCAGTTAATTGTAATGCCATGCAAAGAAAAAAAAGAAAAAAAAGCTATCTGTATTTCTCATTACTCCTTGTAGCCGAAGACATTATAAAGACAATAGTAATCAAGTTTTTGGTTCCAAGAAACCAATGAAGATAAAAAACTAAAGGACATCACTATAAATCAGCAAAAGGAAGAAACAAAAAAATAATTCTCTTGGTTCAGTGTTTCTGAATAAAAAAATATACTTTTAAAGAACCTGCTAATTTTTATGTTACTTTCCCACACTAAACTCACTTTTCCATGTAGTAACTTGAGGAGTCAGTTTCCAATGACATTCCTGATTCCACAGACACTCTGTAGGTGGGAACTGTCCTAACAGCAGCAGTAACAGAGCACAAAATACAGGGACTCTAAAGGTACCAGGTGTCAAATTCTAGTGCCAATACCCCGATATTGTGGTAGCCTGTACTGCAATCTACTGTCAGTTTTAACATTACCACTCTTATCTTCTTGTCTTACCAAACAGTCATTTACCTTCAATAAACAACCCTCTAAAAAGAGACACCATTTCATGTTCAAGGGTAGCAGACTTCCGCAGTACAAGACACTGCACATCTGACAGCATGTGATTTCCATCCCATCTCTCAGTTTCCATGTTCTTGTGTAACGGCTTTGGACAGCACATGTTTAATCAAGAACACGACCTTCCTTCACACAGGACAGACAAATGTTTCTGCAAGCTGGCCATGGCAGTACACCTACCATGAGTTGTACATGTTTTAAACACCCCAATATTGAAGTCTCTTTGCAAGCTGTATGCTTGGAAGTCCTCATCATGGAAGATTATGGAAATTACCTTACTTTAGATGCTTTCCTTAACACAAGATATGAATTTGGAACTCAGGAAGAGTACGAAATCTGGGTACTCTTTATTTTACGCCTCTTTTCCATAAGCAATAAAAAGAAACTGCATGAAGGTTTCAGTCCCTCCTCCTTTATGCCCTTAAACAGGTTCAATAGTAAACTGGGGACATTTGTATCCAATAATAAATTTGTATCCAATAATAAATCCAATAATAAAAAAGATTTGACCTCACACCTACCTACAGGGGGATACATGCATACACAGGCTCAAAGAATCATCTCACATCACTTTATGAAACCCCTTGAAAGATACTGCAATATGTATAACGTTTGTGCCCCTAGAGCTCCTGTGCTCGAGTACCCTTTAGCTTTTTGTAGCTAAGCACTAGTGTTCAAAGGCTTCTTACTACAAGCACACTCTAATACCAACGACAGCCTCCTTATCCTTCTAGCTGTAGAGCACACCTTGGCTTAACGCAGTCAGACTTCTCCCCAGTTCTAGTGGAAATAACATAAAATTTCTCAAGTAGTAAAGAAGGTCCTTCACTTAGCACAGTCCTTGTTTCTTTTATGTGCCTTTTCTATGTCACTTCCACTTACTAAGCATGCTTACTGGAATACATATTAACGCAGATATGGAGTCAAATTGCACTCAGCTTGTAAGAATTTCTGAATCTGTAACTCAGATTAGCCAGACCATCCCTTTGATTGGGTAAAGCATGAAAACAACATAAAACCACAGGGAACTCATCCTATTGATGATCAGATTCCAGGTCCAACAGCCTGGACCCACCTCCTGCCCTTCTGTATTTCCATTCATAAGAGACCTTCAAGTGGAACCTGTACTCCCTCTCATGGTGGTTTCTTTCACCACAACTCACTCTGGTTTAGGAACCTCCAATGGTTTCAGATCCTCATTCAGCCACTTGCCATCCCCAGTCACTGCTGCCATTCAAACAGCAGTAACAATGTTATCAAAACTGAGGTCTTTCTAAGGGAAAGGGTGGGCTGTTGTCATTAACATAACCCAAACATGGCCTCTTACCTTACTTAAATTTCCTCAAGATCCACAAAACTACATGAGCCTCTTCACTCAGCCATACGAAGGTCAGACTAAATTTTTTTAATCATCCTTATTAAATGTGTACCTGTTATAACAAATGGTTTAGAGAAAAGATGATCCTTTATGTAGCCCTGTTTTCTGTGTAACTTCCATTAGCAGGTTTGCCAGGCTTTCGAGTAGTTTGTTGTTGTTGCTCCTAAAAACCCAGCAACATACGTATGTTTTTTTCTTCAGAATCTCAATTTGGAGTAAAAACATTCTTTATCAATAAAATCATCCAGCAGCTCTTCATTTTCATTATATTCCTTAACACAGGAAAACATTAGCAGTGTTTCATTTACTAAGGAGTGAATGGATAAAAACAAACAAAAGAACCCCTCATTATTCTATTTTCAAGCCTCTTGTACCTTTGTCCAATGCTTTTTAAATCAAATGCTTATGATGGATATAATTAACAATTTCTGGCTTCAGAGGCTGAAAAGAGACCAGTAATGAAGATCAGATTACATTCACAGTAAAATACACAACATTTACCCAAATTCTATTGTTGTTCTCCTGTAGAAAATGTGAAAGTGCAGGTATTATTAGTGCACTAATATTTGTTAGGAACCTCTGGTGAAGGGAATATCATTATCTACCTTCGTAATATCGGATTTTCATACTACATAGGAAATGAACAAAGTACAATAAAAGAATATGCATAATAGTAACTTGCAATGCTCTCTGCAATCACTGTGTACAGAAAGGTAATTTCAGTTATCTGTTAACAGTACTGTTACAAGGTCATCCACTAAACCTGGAACCATCCCTTTTAGTTGCTAAATGGACACAAAAATTTTCCTTTAAAAAAGTCTTCGAGACCCATAAAAACAGCAGTAGAGTAATAAATGCCATGAACTTCCGTCATGCTGTGTAAGTAAAATAAAGCATCCTACAGAAGATGTGTTCATCAGAGATAAGGGCCGATATTAGTACAATCTTCCACAGCTGATTCTTGGAAAACTTGCTGTGAAGTGTTGCACCATATTTGGAAGTGGGCACAAAAAACAGTTTTGACTATTTTTTCCATTGAAAATACAACTCGGAAAGGGAGAACAATTACTTGAAAAATCTGAAAAAGAGAGGAGATAAGCACCAGCAACAAAGGACCCACTTTCTAGCTATCACAATCCCTACAGAAAGATAGGTTTGATTTGATTTCAGATGCAATGACTTACTGACACTGGCATTTCCTTTGAAGTCTTAAAGATTACAGCATACCCTTAAAAGGGAACTTTTTCTTCATAGATACCTGAAATTCTAGAATGGCCTTTATGAACAATAAACTCCAAAATTTGTTATGCAGACGGAAAAGATCACACACTACACTATGTAACTAACAGGTAAATGCTTAAGATGAAATAACCACTTTATAATATACTGTCAACTGCTCCACACACAACTGTCTCAAAGATTTCAGTATATAACTGTCCCTCAGAGCAAAAAATTTTTCTTTGAGGACAGGAGAAGTAACAGAATACTCCTCTAAGAAGAACAGTTAGGACTGAAAATTGTAGGGTAAAACCATACTTTTTCCTTTAAGAACAATAACCCTGAACATAACATGAATCACAACAACTATCATTCAAGCAACAGGTGCGCGTATATATATATATGTTCTCACCAAACGTATGAGTGTCATGTTCCTGATGACTTTCTCCCTGCAAGGCTATCATTTTTTTATGAGCATCAACCCACCATGGTTTGTACTTTAAGACATGCTGAATAGCTTCATCTTCAAAAAAATCAGCTCTAGGGGGGGAAAAAAAAAAAAAAGTGTCATACGCTATTTATTTCAGTTTATAGTGTATGTGGGTATATTTTAATGCATACATAGAATACACCTGACTTGGCTCCAGGCTATTTTCCATACATTAGAAACACAACAAACATGACCAGTATCTGTTGTTTTACTTAAAACCAGAAAATAATCATTATTAAAAGCATAAGCAATACTCTCTCATCTTACAGTACCCCTTCCTTACTTCCTCCACCTTTCCTGAGCCACCCAGAAGCCTAGGAAATTGATGAGCTTGCAGCATGACATGAAGGTGAATAAACCTGGTGTGTTCTGGATGAATCTAAAGGAAAACATTCCAAAGAGAAGACTTCTCAGAGAATGCCACTGGCAGCAAACTTGATTTTACTGGGAAGCTCTCCCACCTCAAAACTGCGTATACTTCGGGGAGGAAGGGTATGCAGCTGAAGGGCAAAGATGAAGTAGGGATAGGGACTGACTTTTAGGTAAACAAAGGCATGTTGTAAGCAAAGTAGAAAAAGAGGAGTTGTACGTGAATTCTGGAAGAGAGATTACCTCCATCTCAGCATAAAGCCACTGTAGTAAAAATCTCAATATAGTAATTCTGGGAGGATTTATACTAAAGGATTCAAGTTCTAAGCCTCCTCTTATCATTTTAGCTTTTTCTTCAAGCTAAACAATAGTATAAATACTGAGAACTGAAAAAAATGCAGGAAATTTCTTAATACCTTCTTAATCATCACACAAAACCTACCCAGTCTACTGAACACAGAATGTAATTTGCTTTACTCTCACACTGACAGATTTTTTGATGTCTTCCTTCAGTGTCTTTATAAAGTAACTTAAAGATATCAGCCAGCGTACATTTTCCTCAAAGGCAACAGAACACTTCTGTTTGCCACCGTTCCTCCCAGAGCTGTCCTTCTCATCAGGGTACACAGGAAAACAATTTTTGTTGAAGAAAGGTTGGTGTCATCTGCTCTGAAGCATCCAAAACACAACCATTAAACTAAACAGTTGTAGCTCATCTACCAGGCTATAACACAGGGTCCAAGATGGAAACTTACAATTACTGTAATTTGCATCACATTATAGGTTAGGAACTACTTCAGTTCTAGTGAAATGTACTTCCAAGTGATGTTTCAAGAAAGCTTTTCTATGTGCTACAGAAAGACATGCAGCTGCCTCTGAAACACCTGACTGGGGAAAAATTCCAAGTTTGCAACGATACCTTCTGAAACAACTCAAAATGGGTTAAGCCTACCTCTCCCCGACAAAACACATCACAAGTACTAATTCTCCCTACTGGGGACTACACTCTTCTCTCACCAAATCAATCTTGCAGGAATCGCGGTATTAATAGATCTCATGGCTTCAATTTAGTTTACTTATCTGGAAGTTTCTGAACCTAACTTGACCTGAAATACTCCAACTTGAAAGGCACAAAGAATCATTTCCACCTTCATTACATGGGATGAAGCACAAAGAAACACAAAGTCTTGGTTTGGAACTTTTCCTCATTCTGCTGTAAAAAAGGTTTCATGTGATGAAGGCAAAAACCAGAGTGGCCTAGACAAAATCTTCGTAACTTCAGAACTCAAATTTACTTCCTCATAGACCAGGGTGGTTCAGTAATCCTTGTTTCACAAGGGGAAAACAAAGTTCTGACATCTACAACCCAAAATGCTGGCAGGGATTGGCTACTCAGCTTCTCAAGAGGTGAACTATGAAACAACATTCTGCAACAGCTCACAACAGCCCCTGCTTGAATATAGACTTAAGCAGTAATTAAACAGTAGAGTAACCACAAAACAGAAAAGCAAGGTCTTTTGTCAGTGTCACACTTAAAAATACCCCCTAAGGCCTGCTGTGACAAGACAAAGAAACAAACAAATAAAAAGTAAAGTTATTACTTCCAAAAGTGATCTTAAAACCAATCATTTATGAAAAGAAAAAGTGAATATATTTCAACTGAGGTACTTTTACTTGACCAGGTGAAGTAAATCAATACTCACAGGTAATGATCAGGCTCAAACTTGGCAGTCTCAGCTGCCAGGCGTTTCCTCCTACGTTCATCTACAGGAGTTTGGTCTGGATCCTTAATGTCAATAACATCACTGAGTTCATCCTGCAAATGGAACAAAAATTATATGACCAAGCCGCAGCTACGATACGCAAGATTTATTTAGTAAGAGTTTAGGAAGGATGCTCATCAGCATTGCACTGAAATCCCCAGATGCTCCCAACCTCTCTTTCAAATCTTCCGAATTCAGGCTCCATTGTACAAATAAAACATCAAAATTCCAAGGAAATTCAATTATTTGAAGCTCCTTAGAATTCATAATACTATGAAGTCTATTCAGGCCGTTTTATCATACGGAAGACAGGTTATTTTGCATTACGGTAAAATTTGCAATGTTTAACAAAAGCACACAACCACAACAAAGACAAGATAAAAACCATAGATACTGTTCTTGTGACTTTTGAGATTACTCTCACACTCTGAAGTGGCCATACATTAATTAATGGGCAACTGCAGTGCCCTTTTAAGCATCATTAAGTAGTGGTACATTAATGCTAATGGGAAATGTACTTCTTCGTGAATTTCATGGTAATAAACCAGTGTATATATCCTAACAGAATGTAAATACTTTCTCCATAAATAGCAATCCTTCTGCTCCAAACCCTGAAAATACTACAATTCATGCAATAATGAGTTAGAGTTACATAATTAAGTTGCTTTAAACAGCTACAACTTAAATTGCTTAGAGTAAGAACACTACAAAAAATTAAGTTATCATCTATTTTAATAAAAGCTCTGTATACTATGAATATTGTTATATCACCTAGCATGCTACAGATTGTAGATTAGCTTCAATCTATTCATGAATTAAAGAAATTGTTGAATGCACAAGAGCACAGTAACTGCATTTTAAAGCTCCTATCCTACCAATCAATCCACAGAAGCAAATTTCAGCGCATCAGCATAACCCTAGTAAATCCCACAGATACCAGGTGGGCAGTCACCTTGAAGAGTACACGCTTCAAAAGTTATTGTCTTGTGAGAAAACCAAGTCTAAAATAAAAATTACAAAGAAAAAAATTACCATGAATTTCACAATGAAAAAAAATTTAATGCAACAACCATAACAGGACCTATAGATTAGCCAGCTTTATTTTGTATTCAAGGGTTGTTTTGAGTAATTTCTTTTTAATTTAAAAACAAATTAAAATTCATGGCATCTGAAATATACTGTACATTGATGTTAAATATGTTTGAAGTCAGAATAGAAGACAATACCAAATATAAAGCAAAAGTGTTAACAGCCTGTAGGCTGTTTGCAGCTTGCCAGAACTATTCACCTGGCACATGACCTACTTCATACAGTCCTTTTTCTCTGTGCCTTCACAGGCTAGCTGAACCGTGCTGGTGACAGCAGCCCACTTCCAGAGGCCATTTTTACCAAGGACCCCACTGAGCCCTTTCCTCTAACACTGAAATTATTGCAGAAACAGACCAGCCTGTTGACTCTGCTACACAATTAACTCAGTTTCAACCACCCCCTACTTCTGCAGGAACAAGGATCTGTCTGTACTACCACATGCAAAAGCAGAATATTCTCAGTCACAGAATGGGATACTGGAGAAGAACAGTTACCTAACGATCCCCTCCTGACTACAGAATGAGCCAGGAAGCCTACCCACAAGAAAGTTACCCAGAACTTTTATGATAGGAAAAGACAAAAATGCATCTACCTGCAGCTGCTGGAACACCCCTGACCGCAAATTCCCAAATCCATAACGGTACTGTAGCGGTAGAGTGCTTTCTGCACTTTCTTTGTAAGGGGTCTGCTCTATTTCCCAGTCAAATTCTTCTTCCTCCTCAGACAACTCAGCGGAGGCAGCTGTATATATTGCATGGTCAGAGAAAGAAAATTATTACATAGAAAATATATGTGATTTAATAGAAAGGCAAACACTGATAACACAACAAGCCTTTCTCGTTTTACTACATCTTTTAAGAAATCTTATACAACACTGGGTCATACAGGCAGACGCTTACATCAGTAATCCATAGGTCCTGTTCCAAATTCTCCAACTTTCAAAAATGAAGACCAGGAACACTAAAGTTTTTAAGTATACTCCCTCAAAGACTGAAATAATTGTTCCACTGATTTCAACAAGATCAGAATTTGATGCTAAGAGAACCCTGACAGGAGCAAAGTGATGTTATCAATAATTTAGGATAGATGTTAAAAAATTAAACACAGGTAGTCAAACATTCTTGTCTGTTAAATACCGATGTTAAGCAAGTCATCTACTAGAACCTGTGGTTTTAATTAGCTTCTATCATTTGAGCTAAAAGTCCAGTTGCGCTAGCTTGTGGGAAGCAGAATACTCAAATGTGTCTGTATTATCCAGCCACTAGAGGGGTACAAAGATCTACAGAGGATTAGCATTTGTTAAGCACATTTTGGAAAAATGTAAACATAACTAAGCCTATAAAGATGACATGTATATCACCTACAACACATTTATTTCTATACTTGTCCATACTTTCAGATTCATTTACACCCTTTTCATACCTTGGACTAGACAATAATAGAAATACTGTATTTTTCTACATATATCACTACGTAGATCTGTAACTATTTCATTATGTACACGTATCACTAGTATAAACAAGATTTTTTTTGTCATACCTATCTCTTCTACTAAAGGTTTTGCTGATCTTGATTTCTTTGGTGCTAAAAGAGATGTCAGCATGTCCAGTCCCTCAAAATATTGGCCAGGAATCTCCTTAGGTAACCGAATTGTAAAAGTTCCTTAAAGGGAAGTCAGAATATAGTTACTGCATTAAAATACACAAGACAAACAACAACGTGCGTTTTTCCTCTAATGAAAAAGACTCATAGAAACTGGGACACATGCAGGTAGCATTTTATTTAGCATCAATCTCTCTGCGTTTTTAACCTTACTTCACAAGTTTCACAAAAATCAAAGATTTTAATGACAAAGCATGAAAGAGAATATTTAACCAGTTGTGGTCTCTTGATTCACATTGTATAAACACAAACCAACAGAATACAAGCTTTATTTTATTTTTAATCCTTCCACCAATCAAGCAATCAACAGAAGATCATAGGAAACTACATTCAGCAATCTGTTTATTGTCTTAAGCCAAGCACGTAATAAAGGCTTTGCAAGCAGCAAATTATAGGTTTTATTGCCGAGTTTTTTTAAACAAATACATTAATTCCAGAAGGTACATATTTTATTCCAGAAATACATTCCACCTCAAGGTGTGGAGAAAGGCTAATGTCTTCTCTCTTAAGATGTAGCCAAGAGACCGCCTCAGGATTCTCTCATTTCTACTCAGCACTACCTGACTTCTTTGCAGATTTACTAGACTAATGATCTCGGTACAGTAACATGTCTAGCCCCCACAGGGCTTGAAGAGGACTTGTACATAACTTTTTCATTATTAGGACAGTTCTGAACACGTATTTTGTGCTTAAGGATGGCCTAAGTACGTACAATAAATCCGGAGCAAGATTTTTTTATACTACATAACATAGGAGAAACTTTACATTTATTTACAGTATCATATACTGCACTAAAGTTCTATGCAATTCCAGTGCAGCAAAGTATAAATTATTGGAGAGTTAGTAGCATTTTTACTGACATATATACCAATAACATTAACTAATACCTTTGTCTGTATTATAAGATGCTTTTTCTCTACCATCTTCTACGATTCTTCCAGGAAGCGTCAATCTGTGGGCAAAAAATGAGATGCCTCATTGAATGCCTGATTAATTCTGCAACTTCATGTCTCAGCCTACAAAAATGTAAGGCACATTCCAAAAGCAGCACAAAGGACTTAACGACATGACTCCTTTTGATAGTAATGGAAGTCATGCAGTTAAATCCCCATGTACTTCAAAATCTTTTTCCCTAACTATTGGCACAAGAGATCAGCATCTGAGACAGAGACAATTTGTGACTCCTGGTTTCCCAGCTTGGACGAGGTCACAGCCACCACAGAGATGACGCCCTTGGCACTATGTGCAACACTTGGAAGAGTCTGCAATTTAAAAACTCTAAGCTAACCCACAGTGACAGGATATGAGAAGTCATCCAGAGTTCTTGTACTGCTTATTCAGAATAACCAATTCACTGCATTCTACCAGTCCACTAAAATCCCTTGTGGTCTGCTAATGTATATAGGGGAAGCATGTCCAAGAATACAGGAAACAGAAAATAAGAAAGATTAATAGCTCGTCAGCTCTTACATGCCAAAGATTCTCCTAACACTTTCATACTGAGATTGCCTCTTGTTCCTTTTCTGTAACGTAGTGGGGAATTTGCTATCTAGATAAAAGATACAGCCTGGAACCTCACTTCCTACTGCCTCCACTCGCATGACTTTTCTCCCCTTACGTTATCACGAGGGCATCAAAATCCATTCTTCACCAAATATACTGTATCTGGCTCTCAACAGGGAAGAGACACACTTATTCTACACAACTTGCATACATCCAGAGAATTGTTTTGCCATTTTACAATTAAAAATCTATTGTAAAGTAAATTTAGAAAAGTATTTCTTTAAACTCCCTTTAACATGATTTAATGCCTAGAAACAAAGAGGCCAGATCCATAAAAAACAATTCTTTGCACAAAATAGGCTGTCTGCAGTCTACAGTGTAAGAGCTGCAGATGAGGAATGTTCTGAAGGGGCCAAAATGAAGTTCATTCTCTAATGACTTTTATTTATTTTATGAAGTTCAATTTTTTTTAAATCCTTCCACTACTTGCCTGAGAAAGTACGGCTTAGCATAAAATTTAAAATCTTCCCCTTCAAAATACACGTCAAACTCTGAAGCTCTGGCATAAGGTACTTTGATTATTATCGTAAGAAAATCCGGATCCTGGGTCAGCTCAAAAGCTGGAGTTAGCATGATGAATCCAGCAGGAAAAGCAACCACTGGCTGTGTGGCCCTATCAAAACAGGAAAAGAAGAAAAGATTATTGTAGTTTCCCATTTATGAGAGCAAATAGTATCTCTTCAAAGTTCTGTAAGAAGAACATTCTTACAAAATTATCTTCCACACGCTCAAGAAGAAAACATGCACAACAACGGCAACAAAACAAAAAAAAGTGTCATCAAGAATTTGAAGGTACCACCTCTCTGCACCTTAATGAAACAATTGAACATAAATGCATGCAAACAGAAGCACAGGAAAGCACCTATTATATTCCGCATAAAAAACACACTAAATTTGGTCCTAGAACTTGGCAGCTTTTTGTAATTGTTGTTTATAATTTCACACATAGCAGATGTTAGATCTCTACAGTTCATCAGTGAACTGATCACAAATCACTATTAGAAAATATTGAAAAACAGTAATACTTTCAAAAAATTAGAGCTGTATTTTATAATTCATACACATATTAGCCAGAATACAAGCAACAGATTCGGTACATCCCAAGCACGATCTGAGCATACACACTGAGCATACTGCTCTTCATGTCAAATTTAATGCATAAGCCACTGGGACAGTACATGCAAGTCAAAGATGCTCCTTTCCAGTGGGATCATGACACAAGAGCTGTCTGAACAGTTTAAACATGAGCAGTTGACACACTCAGGATGTCCAACGCAAACATGCTTACTATTCTGATCGGTTTGCAGGGTTTTCACAAATCTTGAAGAAGCATCCTAAAAACCTCACATTCCTTCTGAAGATTCAGTCAAAGAAAACATAAATAATACAGTAGTTGTAACTGAATTAAATTATCTAGAGGATATCTGGGATCTTCCTCACCAAGTGTTTTTAAGGACATTTTAGGCCAACATCCATCAGAACCATATGTATGTATGTACATGGGCATGCATATATATTTAGCACAAGAAAAGGAATTTACATAGTACCATTCACCTGATACACAGCTTGTCTGACTCTTCAATAGCTTTGAAATGCAAGATAATTCCTCAGGTTTAACTTAGAATCCCCATTTTTTTTTAATGGGGGGGGGGACAGGGACCACACACTTTTGAAAATTAACTTTTTAAGACAAAAATAGTTTTACCAAAAAAGTGCAAAACAGAACTATTATCTGGGAAAGAGCTACTTTTCACTGATTTTCATGGTTATCTTTATTAAATACATCTCCATTCTTACAACTTCATGAGCAAACATGGAGCATTAACCATTAATAGGGCTAAATTAGCGATTACCCTTTTTTTTCCATATAGGTAATTCATATGGGTACTCTACCTCAATTGACAAGTATGAAAGAAGTGAAACTCCCCATTTCACCGTATCACTTGATTCCAGGGCAAAATTCCCACCCTTTCCAGGCTGAGAAGCTGCCACGTGCTTATCGAGTTGTAACTAGGTAGGAAATACCTGGCTTGAAGAACACTTGCAAGCCAGTGTACATTTCTGTGGACTTTCTTCTTATCGATTTAAACACCACACGCTGTCTAGCAACATGGGATAAGAGGTAACAAAAATCCACTAGCTCATTTAGACCCTTCAAGGATGATATGCCAGCCGACATTTTTATTTTCCCAAATAAGAGGTTCAGAACATTTAACAGCAGCCCTGAAGCCAAGCCCAGCTGTTCCCGCTCAGATCTTCTCAGCGCTGCTGCACTTTTGGCATCCTTGACACAAATTAATGACCCCAAACGAATGCGGAGGTCCCCACACAAACCCCAGGTGTTTCACAGACCACAGCCTAGGAACCGTTGATATCCACCCCACAGCACCACAATATTCAATCCCCAGCAGCGCTTGCCACAACCTAAATATCAGGTATCTCAAAATAATTAAGCTTCCCAGCCTTTTCTGTAAAAAGACCGCTATGCACTAGCGAAAAAAAAAAAAAACAGCAAGCAGAGCTAAAATGTTTCTGTTGGAGCAAGGGGCTGGCAGGAAAAGGGCCAGGCGCTTTGCTCTGCTCTCCCTCAAAGGCACTAGAGTAAGACATAATTTCCCCCCGCTGCTCCTTAAACTGGGTTAATGGCCG